TTGCTAAGATATATTTATTTAACTATTCAGTTGGGCTGCTAAAACATACCAAACTAGATTGACCCAAAGGAAAGGATCTTGTCTGTCAGTGCCATGTCTTAAACCAGCACCCCAGCACCTGACCAGAAGGACATAGGGCTCTGGGCACATCTAAGCCCCAGGGCTGGGGCTGACTGGGAGAGTTCTCTGGCAGCTGCTGAAGAAGAAGCTCTTGCAAGAGAGGAAAGAAAGGCTCTGTCACAGCTTGGCTGCCTGAGATAATGCTGGTGCTACTGTGCTGCTCACTAAGTTATTATATTACCTGTTGTCATTTAAAGTGGTGGACTGGATTGAGGCTGTAGGGGAGGAGGAGACCTCATTGGAGCACACTACAATCTAATGTAGAGGCCCCAGCACTAATGAGGGCACACTTTAACACACACACAGTGTCACCCACCCACATCATAAGTTTTGCTTGTCAGCAGCCTGAGGTGCAGTTTCCCAGAAACCCCTTCACCTATCTCCTTGAAATTTGGCAGCCTTCATGGCTTCACAAGGAGCCACTGTCCCTGCATGTTTCATCTGAATGGGGTGAGAAATGGCAAAGTTATGGGTGGTTTCATGCTTCCCCATTATAGCTTATAGGCGAAACATCAAAAAAACGAAACAGTTTTGACAAAATGAAATGGAACAGTGGTTTTGAAACTAAATGAAACACTGTCCCATCAAAACTGTAGTCAAAATGGAACAGTGCTGTTTGTCACAACCCTAGTTTGCAACTGCTTTTTTCTATTTCCCATATATTGGTTATCCCCAGTTCTGAGGGATATATGACGATAATTCTTGCCTCAAAGTGTATATTAAACTCTTCCTTTGTAAGAGAATATTACATGAATGACTACTGAGAAATGAATAAATGAATACTGAGAAGTTAAAATTAATATTGAGAAATTAACTGTTGATTTCATGTGATCTTAACCACTGGGCTGTCAGAGATAAGCAAATAGATTTTTCTACCCTCTTGGTCTGACCTGCTAGCAAGGCAACAATTAATTCAAACTATTACACTTGGAAAAGGGTCTTCTGCTTTTGAACACAAAATGTGTCATGCATCATTGAGCTAATTCACTCAAGTGTCAACATTGGGTAAGTAATGCCAGCTGTTCAGATTCTGGTGTTGGCAAGAAGAAAAAATAATACGATAGATAACTAAGTGGGAGATTAGAGGAACAGACTATCCTGTTGAGTCAACTGTGCATTTATATTCATTTACTGTACTTTGTTTTCAGATAACTGGTTCTATTTTGTGTATTTCTGTATCAGTTTTGCTGTAATATCTGTCAAGAACTTCGGGAAGAATCAAAAAGCACTCTGGCCAAGATTCTGAGAACTGATCCAGGAGAGCAATTTTTTCATCACTTCTGATTTATGTTAGAAGTATTTTGGGGAAGAATTGGCATAAAGGATTTCATAATATTCATTTAATATACATATTACAAATATCTAAATGAATAATATGAAGGTTTCTCATATTTCTAGTTATATATATGAACTGAGTAAAGCTTCTGCATTCTTGGCATCTTTGAACCCCACACACAACGTATTTAGGAGCCTCCATATTTCAAAATTGTGATTGTTGATAACTTGTCATTTACCTCATCAATTTTAGAAATGAGTAGAGTTGTAGACTTCACAAAGAGTTTGGATCCAGGATCTTACATGAATCCTAACTTTGGATTAGAGTATGTTGGCTATTCAAAAGTCAGATCAGGAGTTTAGATCTGAAGTTCTACCTAGAAAACAGGTAGCTATGGAAAACTTCCTTGTAATTGGCTGCAGACTAATGAAAATCTACTTTTAGCAGAATAAACTCTTTCTTAAGTTTTGCTGGGTTAGATAATGTTCCATTCTTTTTTGGATCAAAAACAATACAGTTATATATTTAATAAAATGTTATTTTAAATATTGTTAATTCATTTAGCTGCAGAGTGAGGCATTTTAGTTTTTTTCATTCCACATCTTATTTTAGGAAAAAGTACTTTGGAGTTTCCAAATGTAGCTCAGTTGTCAAGGCATCCATAGTAATCATATCACAGTGCTTCAAAATGACACCCTATGGAAGTTTTAAAAAAATGTAAAATAATCTCAAATTATCTAGTATTATCATTTGATTTGTATTGTGTTAAGCTATGTTTATGTTTAATAGATTGTGTGAGATTGCTGCTGACTGCAGAAGCACAAGTTGATGCTGCTGATAAAAATGGCTTTACACCCTTGTGTTCAGCAGTTTCTCAGGGACATACCAAGTAAGTGTAATGTTAAGATTTTACTTTGAAATCATTATTCTTTAATCATTACATTTTTAGCTATCCTTGCCCTTAACTGTCATGTATTGCAAGTAGTGAATCTCCTATTAATATATTGGGATTGAAACTTTAAGCCAGTTGGGAGCTTTGATTTACACATGCATTGTGCATGTAACTGCACCAAGACAGGTTCCATGGGGTGACTTTGAATTTCCTAACTTTTGTATGAATTAGTTCTCTGCCCTGAACTTCCATTAGTGCTAGATTTTGCTGTGACTTTATTTGAAGGAGAGCTATGACTTACCACATACTGGAATAAATCAGAGCATTTATCCAAATGTTCTTACATGCAGTATATAGTCATGTACTTTGAAATAAATGTAGCTGCTTTTTGTATAGTTTGAGTACTGCATCTTGATATATTTTAGGAATAGAAAGTTGTGTACATATTTCCAACATGCTTTTAAAGCTTAATTTTATTTCTAAACCACATTGCTTGAAATGTATGCATTTCTCCAGTAATTAAAATAGACATATATCAAACCATTTTAAGTGCATTTACAGGAAAATAAATTTATAAATGTAGGAAATATCTGACAGTTCTCTTGCTGAAAATTAAGTCCGTGCCAGTTTTAAAACAAATTATTTGTTTTCTTCAAGGTTCCTGAAAAAAATTCATTAATAATGGATGTTTTTAATGCTTTTAATTAAAGGAAAATGACTGACTAAAGTTATATTACATTTTCTAGATGCCTTATCTTTTTGTCAGATTTTAGCTAAAAAAAGGCAAAGAAAATTTTAAAAGCTGGTCCTGTGCTCTCTCTTTGCTGTTTTATTGTGGTTAAATAAGGTCTAAAAGATTATATTTTTTAAGAACTTTTTAAATTAATCTTAGAAACATGATGAATGTACAGTCCAGTTTTCCTTGGTTTTGCTACAGGACCTGCTGGATGTCTTGCAGCATGTTTATTGTAAACTCTTGTGCTTAACTGGAAATGCAATAATGTTGCATTTTAAAAAGAAGTCCATTGTCAAGAATGATAATCATTTAAATGTATCATATACAAGAAGTTTTGAATATTTTTAACAAAACATCATACCTTTCCTCCTCTTTCACATTCTTGTAATGTCATTTTATATATATTTACTTGTGATGTGACTGTGCTTAGAAGTCCCAGCCATAAAATCAGATCCCATTATGTTAGCTTAAAAGAGCAAAAAAGAACTATTTTAGTTTCCATTCCTGGATGCCTGTAAGTGCATGGAAATTCTGGCTGTAAGTTAAACTATTTTTTTTTACATAACTGTATTGATTCCATTGCAGACCTTCGCAATTTTTACATAGCACTTCACTGAAATGAATATAAGTGAGGTTCATTAAAGATTCCTATTCTGTCTAGAAGGACTTAAAAGCCCTAAACCTAGGGATACTATGAGAAGGATATATTGTTTTTAAAAAAAACCAAAACCTTGGGTATGTTTCAGGTCTGAAGCCTCACCTACTGTGTTTGCCTTGCTCTCGTGCTCTGAGGTGATGTATTCAAATCGTTAGGGCAGCGATTACCTTTTGTGAAGCCCCAATCCTGACTGGGTTTGTTGAGCTCAGTTATATTTAATAATGGTGCACCAAGCCAAATTTGTAAATTGGTAATAATTAAGTGGGAGATGTCACCTCTACTTCCCCCTGCCCAACTTCACATCCTCCCACTATAATAAATGTAACTTAGATGTGTTCTTTTAAATATGAAATTATTTATTTCTATTGCTTTTCTGCTGTTAGCACTTGGGTATTTATGGCCGTGCTATGCTTACAGCACAGTAGAGCTTATGTTCTCTCTTTTCCTGGGGGCTATTTATATAGCGTGACATCCCTGAATATAACTTGTGTTGCTTCTCTCCCTTTTTGATGTACTAAATATGAACTGCTTTATCATGCCAGAGTGAAAGTATCGAAGAGTAATGAAGCTAGAAATATAGAAATACCCTGGGAAAACATAAATACTGCAGAAGTAGGGGATGCTTAATCTATTGATTGCCTTAAATTGTTTGCTTTGAGAATTCTGCTGTCTCTCCTTTATTGACCTGCTTCAGACTGTGCTGCAGATGTCATGAATTCCAGATTCTTAGTCCAGTGATGGACTCTATTACTTGATAGCATCAAGCATGATATACACAACCGCAATGTGAATTTTGTGGTACAAATGACATTTAACTTATTACCTCAACGTTGACAAACCCATGGTCCATGTCATGGTCTCCTCAGTAAAAAAAACAAAAAAGCTAGTTTGTCTGTGGGTTTATGTATGGTACTAACAAATGAACTGTAAAACAATCAAACTAAGTTCACTTGTGGACCAAACCAGGTGGTAATCCTAGACCCCCCAAGAGGAGAGGTTAGTTTACTAACTACTGTACTACATCATTCCCTAGAGGGCAGGCTAATAATACTCTGGAATTATTTGGGTCCAACAGATCAAAAATAACCCTTTCTTGAAGTGGCATGATTTTAAAACATTTAGAGGATGCTTAGTCTGGATTGACGTCCTTTAACGGGTGAATGTTCCCATTTTAAGGGATGTATGTGGTAGCTGCGTTGGTCTGAGACAAAAAAAAATGCAAAAAACTAGAACTCTTGGTTCCAAAATGATACCTTTTATTAGACCAACTGAGAAATTGCAAAAAAAATCTTTTTCTGCAAGCTTTCGGGCTCATGCGCCCTTAATCAGGCTAAGGGAAAGTTCAAGATGGTAAAAGGTCCCCATATGTAGGAAATAAACTTCATTTTTGTACAGAGGAAGCAGAAGCTGGAAAACTGTCCCTCTGAGTCCATGAGAGTCTCTTTGTGAGCTTGCTCTTTGTTGTGTAGATCAAGCTGGATTTCCTCCTTGGTGGTGTCAGATGGCAGGCAGGGAGGTATAGAAATCTTTCTTGTTGTTCAGCAATGAAGTTTATAATACAGAATCAGCTAAAATTCAGCATCTTCTGTGTTTCAGGGATGTGTGTGGTAGCCATGTTGGTCTGAGCTAAAAAGAAATATTTTAAGTGTCTGTATGACTGTTTAAAGGGAACTTGTAACACCATTGTAACAAGATTTGTTGGATTTAGTGTTACAGTATGATAGCTTTTATATCATGTAAAATAATATTTTTGGCCTTTGTGGGTTGCAGATTTGTACAATAATGCAGGGTACTCTTACTGAGAAATATAATTTGAAACTTTGATATACGTACCTTTATTTTTTAAGTTTGGGAAACGGGCATTTTTTTCTTGAGCTTGAATGACTATTCTTCCAGCCAGGCATAATGCATGTAACCCTACTAAAACTTCACAAACGTGTTTGTTTTGACCATCAACCTCTCTATTTCCATGAATACCTCTTTAAAAAAAAATTATTTGTGGCAGTGTGAGATGTTTGTACACTTTAAATAAATGTTCAATAGATGATGAGAAGGCCCATGATATTTGTTACTTATTCCTGTTTATTCAGTACTACTGTATGTCTGTTTTATACTCTTCCAAATTAGGAATTTGATCTTAAACATCAGTACTTTCATGACAGAATATTTAAAACATTTAAAATGCTTTAAATTTGTCTAACCTGCACTTTAAAAACTTCTAATGATGGAGCTTCTACAACACTTGTAGGTATTTTGTTCCACTGCTTAATCACTCTTGTATTTAATAAATAAACACTCCTTATTGACATGCACGCTAAATCTCACTTATAGTAATTTAAGCCCACTTATTACTTGTTCCATGGCCAAGGGGAATAATGGAGTGCCATTGTCTTTATGAACATCATTTTTTGTATCTACCCTTTGTTATCAAACCTCCCCCACACCCCTCCTTTTTCCATTGTTCAGATTAAATTGTCACAGTTCTTCAAACCTTTCCTCATTTGTCATGTTTTTTCTAGACCACTAATGATTTTTATTAGTTTTCTTTGGACTCTAATTTGTCTATCTCTATCTTGATGTAAGGTTCTGAAAACTGGATGGAGTGTTCCAGGTGAGGTCTAAATACAGTGAACAAATTATTTTCAATGGCTTTTAAGGCACACACCTGTTTATATAACTTACTCTCCTGTTAGGAGAGTATGGTGAAGGACTTCCACATCTGAGTATGCTATTAACCGTTTTTGCAACAATACTACACTACTGACTCGCATTCAGCTTTTGGTCTAATATACTCCACAGGTCCTTTTCTACAGTACTTCAGCTTATCACTTTTTTCCCCACTATACATTATACGTTTGACTGTTCCATCCTAAGTGCACTTGTCCTTATTGAATTTTATTTTGAATTGTACTATCCTTGATCCATCCATGTTCATGTCATCTGCAAATTTACTGATGTGTTCAGTCAGTTCCATCTTGCAGGCGGTCAGTGAAGATATTTAACAATACTGGACTTACTGGGATGTGAATGGTTAAATGATTAATCGTTTAACCGATCAGCTCAGTGATAACTGGTTCTAGCTTACTGGTTATCATTTAGCCTGGGGCTAGGCAGAGTCCAGGAGGGAAGTGGGGGAAAAGAAGCCTTGCGATGCCCCAACGGGAACTGGAAGGGGGAGAGAGAAGTGAAGAAGAAGGTAGGTGGGAGAGATGACATACCTAATAGCTAGTTATGCTACACAAGGGGAGGGAGGGAGGGAGTGAATAGTGGGGAGCAGGGGAGGGAACAGAGAGGTTGCCTGCTCCCTCCCTCGCAGTGTGTCAGCACCTGCAGCAGGCTGTTAAAGCCCTGGATGGCTGCTGCTTGCCTGCCAGGGCTGTGCTGCCTGCCTTTCCCCTCCCTCTCCCTCCTGTGCTGCGGCAGCTGGC